TTGAGTGGTCGAGTTTTCCCACTGCGACACCGATTCACCAAACAGTTTGTATGTCTCCCTTGTATCTTCCGTTTCTCAACAGCTTGAAAAACGCCCACTTTCCTCAAATTAGTGGAACAACACAAGTCAAGTTCCCAAGCAAAAGGAAAAGAGTCTTTTCAGTCGGCCTCACCCAATACTTACAGAAAGCAGTTGCTTCCCATCAGATAGTTTTAGCTTGCTTCAAAAAGTAAGGAAATTAAAGCAACTGCTTGATGTGTTTGTTTGTCCATCTTTCTGAGTATTTCCCCTACTCTAAACTTACAAATTTACTGGCAATTTACAGTTAAGTTTGACAGACATTTCTAACATTAGTAAGTTCTAAGTCTCTTCAAACAATAGCTGGACAAATAGAAAAAAAACCCCAAAACATAAAATTATCTGGAAGGATAATGACGTACTATTAATCTATTACATGCTGTTTGTCAACAACAGATAGTCTGGTCTACGCCCAGCGGGTTGTGCTGCTCTAGACCAGCAAGTGCTCCTGCTGCCTCTCCTCTGTGGGTAAAGTAGCCTTTGGCTTCTCTTCTCCTTTCCCCCTTCAGGCCAGCTATCTTACTGGCTGCTTCTCAAATCTTCACAAGAAATCTCAAATATTATACCTTTTTTAATGTCATTTTCTCTGTCTCAACAGTTGCATTTTCACTTCCTCTTCTTCTACTGTGCTGGACAGGCTAACTTTTGATGCCAGTGTGCCCATAAGGCCTCTATCTCTACAGCATATATATCACAGACTAACTACTTGGAATATATTCTGAATATTGTTCTTTAGAAAACTTGTCTCCTTAGTCCCATGAAGTCTTGAAGCCCTCTAGATCTTTGCAAACATAAGACAGAGCAATGTATGGAGTGAGCTATATCCTCTGTCAGATAAGGGGTTGGGTTTCAAGACCAAAGCATTCCTCTTCAGAGGCCTTTGGACAGGGAAACAGGGCAGCACCTTCTAGAAGATACATATCAAATATAGTTTATTATCAGAGGTAAATGTACTTCCTTCCTTAATGCACCCTGAGATCCAGCAATTTTTAAGAAGTTGGGCACCAGAATTAGACTGTCTAAATTTTCCCTGTTTGAAGGCTCAGGTCTGAAACCCTGGGCACGCATATTTGCACAATGTGTCAAGCTGAGGACCAGGTATTTTTCCTCCTTTTCACTTATGTAAAAAATATAATAGAAAGCCAGGCAGCATTAAATCAAATTTACAGTAGTGGCTTAGATTTTTTATGCGATGCCATGGTTTTTTTCAGCTGACAGGGAAACCACACTGTCTTCTACCTGAGCACTTCGGGCCAAGGGAGAACAGGTCAAAAGGCTGGCTGGGTCCCGGTGACAGGAGCTGTCTCCAGCCCTGCTCACTCTCTAACTTGTAACACATGCATTACCTGCAAGCTGGCTTCAATTTTATCCTGCAAGGCTTCCCTGGAGGACAAAACCAGTGCTGCCAGATTCACAGTTGGGCACAATTGTCCAACCCCACAAGAATGATTCATCTTTCAGATATCAAACATGATCTGAATTTTTCATCAGCTCATCTACATGTAAGCACAGTAGGGAACTTTGTGTATATTTTTGTTGCCAAAAGTCATGAGATCACAAGGATAACAATTTTCCTGCTTGCTTACAGTCATGATGTATCACATCTACTGTCTGTCAAAGTCCTGTTGACATGTATTTATCTTGGCAGTTTGGTCTAGTGTTTCTACGTCATGTGTGCAAAAAGCAGCAACAGATCCCTTCAGAGATTAAAAAACGATGGCCTGTTGGATTTATTTGCACCCTGGGGGCATCATTTGGGGGCAGATTCCTACAAGTAGCACATTCAGTTATTTCCATCTTCTCAGGATACCAGCTGCTGTTTCAGCCAGCTCTCTGAAATGTTCTTTCCTAAGGTAGTAGGAGGGGGAACACTGAGAGAAAACACAACAAAGGAAAATTACTTTCCAGAAATTATTGAAATCTTATCCTCTTCCTGCATTTTTCCCTAATTCTTCTTTCAGAGAAGAAAACACTTCCCTACTGTAGACAATATTTCTTCATATATTATTTCTATAGGTTCTGTCTTAAAATAGGACAGACAACATATGAAGACAATTTGGTTCCCAAATCTTCTGCCACTGCTATGTAGAGCCACAAGGAAACTGTATTTCCCTAGGAACAGTGCGAGAATAGATTACAAGAAAAATTACTGTTGAGGTATCCTCTTTAATTCCCTCCGGATGTACACAATCACTTCAGTGAGAATAAAACCAAAAGCAAAGGTATATCACTAAAGGGAAAATGTAGCAACTATATGTATTAGTACACTTTGGGGAACATGCACAAAAAACTTAAGTGTGTCTTCAAGAATGGTTATCATAGGAAATTTTTTGTCCCAACATAGCCTAGGGAACTCGGACCCCTCTTTTCAGGAATTACTTTTGAATCAAAACAGAAACAGCTGTATTTCATTTTCCCAGTTAATGCACATTGCTGGAAAAATCAACACATACCTGTACAGAAAAATATGTAGCCCCATATCTGAAGGTGCCAGAACTGAGACTATGCAGATGACAGAAGCTCAAATAACCAGGGGTTTCCAGTTACACACAGGAGGGCTGACAGAATGGCTTCCGATTCAGTGATAAAATCCCTCTTTCAACCATCATGGCCAAACAGCAACTTTCTAATGTATCTCCTGAAGCACCTGAATCGCCTGGAATCCATGTCTCTCCTGCAGTCTTCTCTGCAGAGCAGCTGCCCTCCTGCCCAGTCTGTTTCCATTCATACACAGAATAGACAAGATATGAAAAGAGCATTGCAATGGATTTTGTGTGCTGTAAAAGATGTTATTGAAAATTCTCTCACTTCATGTACTGTTTAAAAACAGATGCCTAGAATTTGTTAAGTCAGACAGCTCCTTTAGGACACAAAATCCTATCTGAGGGCTCTTAATTTCAAATAAACATTCTTATTTTCTCTTATTCACTCTTGCAGGTATGGAACATGACTTTTAGGTTTTTTCTTTGCAGAAAAATGACTAAATAAAGCATGGAAGCAAAATGTAAAATAGGAGATTTCAATGGGAAATGGTCAGACAAATTCACATTTTTTCAAATGATAGCATGTAAAGATATGCAAGCTTCTGTAAATAATTTGGCTGCAGTACATAAAGTCCTAGAACATCATGGGAACAACTTCTGCCAGAGTTGTTTCATGCTTTTCTCTACTTTGAATTCTTAATCACATGGTGACTCAGATGTGATTTTTACTACTGGTGTAAACAGAACAAACAGTGAAACTTTAAAACCACATTTATTTTTAATACAAAATCTGTTGCACTATTACAGAAGTGAGCCTGTATGTTTACCCCCACATGCACAGATAATTCAGCATCTACATTAACTCAGAGTAAAATTATATTTCTCTTTTACCAAAACCATTGGCAAATCTTATTAAGAAATGTTGTCTTTGTGCTTTGTAATCAATGTTTGCAGAATTATTTTCTTATTTCAGTTCCCATTAAGAAAACTGATCAATGGAAAGCTCAAAGTTGTGAAAGAAGCTTCTTACTGCTACCTTAACATTTGTGATTACTTCAGTTGTGCTTTACCTACAATATATACATGAAAGCTGCAAGGTGTACTATGGTCTAAGGTAATGCACTGGCAAATGCTCTGAATGGTTCAGTTAGGAATCTGCAGTAAATAAGCAGAACAGTTCACTATTTCATTTTCACAGCAAAAAAAAAGAAAAAAAGAAAAAAAAAAGTAGATGCTTTAAAATACCATAAACACCATTGGCTACAGTACTTCTTACACAGTACAACATAAGCTTTCTCGTTTTATTTATCTGTAACACCTAGAAGCATATAGCATCTACGCTTTAAGTGTATTTACAAATTCAACAAAATATCTACATATAAAAAGCTTACTTAAAATTAAACTTGATGCAAGTTATGAAAAACCAATTTATTGGCAAATGAAACTGAGCATTCCTTCAACCATAGGTTGTTATAAAAATTTATATTTGGAGGTAAACATTTGATTGATATAGTATGCAAGATAATAACTTTGTAACCAATAATGGTAACCCTTTACCGCTAACCCATATTAGCACTTGTCAGATTGCGTTCTGTGGTTCCAAGCAGTAACCCCCACACTGCTTCAGGGTGCAGATAATTACAAAGCTGCCACACTGATCAGGCCGGGACACAGAGGGAAATGCACTCTTGCTGGTGTAGTCAGCTGGTTTGGTTTTTAAATAATTTATTTTACAAGAGCTTATACCTTGCTGTGTTAGTAAATAATTTAATTCTGGCTGTGTTTTGTTTTTGTGTTTGGTTTTTTTGTTTGTTTGTTTGTTTGTTTTTTAATATTCTAAGGCTATGAAAACATGTTGTGCTGTAACTGTCTAGAAAGCATTTATTTTATTTTTAAAGGAAAAAAATCATACTCTTCTTTGTGTAATTTAAAATATTTAAAATCTTCAGTTTTTAGCACAACATTTTCATAACACTTTTTTTTTCTTTACGTTTTTACTTTATTTGGCAATGATAGTAGTCTGCTAATCACAGTTTACTGCACCAACTGATTTAGTAGTACAGCAAATTATGGAATGCATATTGTATAAAGGCACTGAATGTATTTTGCCCTGTTTTTTCTGAAATATTTTCTGTCATTATTGAAGTTTTTCTTTCAGTGACAAATTCCAAAATGCATTGCAATGCGTAACTTTTATGCCCTAAAATCAATCCAATGTGTTTTGATGTAAAAATAGAACACTGTACTGCTGTAATACTTGACAGATTAAAAAGGCTATAAAGTAATAGGAGCAAAGAGCAGATAATAGGGTCTCATTAAGCATCAGCAAATGCAAGTGTCATACTTAAATCATTTAGCAATTACATATTGTACATACTGTTCCTAACTGTCTTGCAAAAAGACATATGAGAGCTAGACATTAAGTCACCAATTTCACAACAATGTCCACAAAGACATTGAAGTTCTATATAATACTACTATAACACTCTGACAATGAAAATGGAATTCATACCCAGGGATTCAGCTGCAGACTGCATAACAAATTGTCAAACCATGTTTTCATAGTGTACACGAGATTATCTGTGAATTGTGTAGCATTTTTGTCCCATGCATTATACTGTATTTTCAACAGGAAACAAAATTACAAGTCGATGTTATTGTTTGTGTCAGTTCCTTTTTAAAAAAAGTAAAAATATCCAAGTTTTGACCAAAATTTGAATTTCATATTTTGATTCATACTAATATACCACTTAATGTGTCATTATGCTGTATAACTGTATTGACCTGCATATTCTCATAGCATTAACATCTTGTGGTAAGGAGCTCCATTACCTGCATGTTCATAGTATGAGAAGGAGGATGTACAAAGTGCTTTAAACAAACTGAAGATACAAGGGGATCGAGTTCGGTGGTTACACAAATGAATTCATGGCATTTACAGGAGAAGGAGCCTCAGAGCTTTCATTTCCTTCTACAGGTTCTTTCTCTTTTTTACCACTATATTGTCCAATAAAGGAGCCATCCTCATTGAACTGACCATTTACACCTTCTCCATAGTCAACTAAACTATCATCACTGTCTTCTTTTTTCACAGTTCTGTCTGAAGGTGTCCGGCTTCCTTTTTTTAGAGGTTTATGGTCCTCTGCATCACTGGAGACACAAACAAACAAAAGGAATTAACTGATGTATGATATATTAAGACAAAATCAGCCATGCATGCAGAGTTTATCAAAAGCATGTGTGCAGCCCTATAATCCTTTAGTAAACCCACATCACATTGTAGAGACAAATCATTATGATGCAGTTGACATGAATATATGGTGCAGGAATGGTTTAAACAGAGAATGTCTTCAGTGGAAGGAGGGGAGTTTGTGATTTCTTTTTTTTTTTTTTCTTTTTTCCCCCATCGTGCATGACTTTTCAATGATAAGAACCTGTGCCCTTGGCTTGGAAGCAATTTAGATGCAACTGCAAGCATTAAAAAGTGGGTTGTAAAGCTATAAAAAAATAATTTATTTATTCTCCAAAGTAACAAGCTTATGATGTGCCGTGAAGTTAGTCTGTTAAACTTCTTAATTTCTTTGACTCCTTGAACATGAATGAAGAATGAACTTGGTTAAATGAAAGATACTGATTTTCTTTACTAGTATAAAGAAAATAAAAGTGCTGCATTTCAAATAATTTGTTACATAATGCAGGCCAGACTTGCAATTTTCAACCTTACCTTTCAAGAGACCTACATATTCCATTAAAAGGGTGCAGAAGAAACAAATGAAAATAGCCTAAGAAGAAAAGCAAAGTCCATATCCTGATAGTGATCAGTATTTTATCAATAATAAATTGCTCTTAAAATTGCTAAAATATTTACTGTATACAAGTGAAGCAACCATTTAGCTTACAGTAGCTAGAGTTAAGCAGCTAAGAGCATGCTTAGTCTTTTTTCATTACTTATCAGATCAACCTCTTTATCCTAATCCATAACATGTCCTGACAATGATGATAGTGGTTTGGACGACAACAGAAAAAGAAGAGGAAAGAAAGGTGGGAGGAGAGATCCCTGTAGCAAAGTACTGTGGTCTTTCCCTTGTCAGCGGAAAAGCTGCAGCACCATCAGCATCCCCAAATAAATTTGCAGCTGTGGTAGGCTTGTACTTCATGAAACAGATGTAGTTGGGCACTTTTCAGAATCGTTTACACTGCACTTCAGTTTCAAGATGAAGATTTCAGCAGCAGCTCCAAAGCATTTCAAATTCAAAACCAGTATTGTCATCTGCACTTTTGGGTGCAATTATTTATCCTGTCTTAAACAGAACATGTGACTTTAATTGCATATAGGGTACAAAAGAGTAAGATATTCTTGGTTTTTATTTAAGGACTCCAAGCTTATGGAAAATAAAAATACACATGTATAGAATATAAAAAAAATGAAAATATATTTTACAATATCAAAAATACATTCAGCAAATTATTTTAACCGTCTACTTCCTAAACCCAAATATCTTAGTTCTTCCGTTCTTCCAATAATGTATTTTCTTCCTTTTTTTTTTTTCTTTTAATTATTATCTTTGGACACCCAGAGAAACCAGACATAGACAGCATATACAAGGTCACATAGATTATATCATTACCTAACAAATGCCCTGTTGCGAAACATTTCATTATTGTTAGAAAACCCTTACAACCAATTTTCCATCAAGGTGGTTCTCTTCCTCTCATCACCTTTTTTTAGCTTTGGAAAACTCTAAGTTATCACATTCTAAAAGAAGTATGCCTCTAATATGCATATACTTACACAAAAAAGCATACCAGAGATTTTATCCTTCTATGCATTCACAAGAAAAAGTACTAGAAATATCTATTTTATTAACATGTAAGAAAATATTCATGTTTAAAATACATAAAGGCAAAAACTCTAAACTTGACTGTATTACTATTGACTTTGGTTTTAGTTATTGCTGTGTACATGGCATGGGGATAAATATCATATCATTGATCTTCTGTGCTCACTGATAGTGCCAACATATAGGCTAGTAACATTTAAAAGAATGCTACTCCTAAATGTCAAGCAAAATGCAAATGTTTATAAAGCTGCAAACACAAGCACATTACAAATATTTTACTGAAGAAAGTTTATTTTGCAATGACTCCATATTTAAAAGGTTGAAGATAGAACTGAGTATTTAAAAATCACACACCATATAGTTTCTCCACTGCCCCCATTAGAGGGCATTAGAGTCATTAAAGCAGGTTATTCAAGCCAAACAAAGACCAGCTCCTCGCTTTGAAGTAGTAACTGGTCCTACTCCAAATGAATGACCTGTGGTAGTTAATGCTTTCTGGGTAATGCCATTTAGTAAAGAACACTGCGCATAAGTTTTGCTGTTTAATTTTAGATTAATAGCTTCGTAATTGCTTACATTGTAATATGTAGAAATGAAAATGAATTAAAATTGCATTTGTACCATATTCCAACTGGTCAAGAAACAATGTATAAATATTCTACAGTCTGATTCTATCCAGTGTAATTCACTAGGCTGGAATATACAGTAAATAAACAATAAATCATCGCTGTATTAAAAATATCCACATTTTTGTGTTTAATCCAATAAAAAGTTTATTTATAAGCCAAACAATGAAGAAGTACTTACACAGTTGGCTGCACTGTGTCTGCCATTTTTCTCTATTTTAGTAAGGATGCAGATTTTACTGTTCTGTATAATTAAAAACAAACAAACAAAACTGCAGATCTACTGAGGATGGTATGTGCACAGAGGTGGGTGCTGGTGTGAGAGCACAGTTACAGCAGATGCAAAAATCAAATCTGATCATCGGGATTCCTCCCTTTTTACACTATGTAAGTCCAGAAAGAGGTTATGTCAAGACTCATAGTGGAAAACCAAGTGGGGTTATCCAGAATGCTTTCCACTCCATGTTCAGGAAAAGGAAACATGCCATGGTACCATTTATTCTTTATCAAACTGGATTATGACTTTTGTATTAGATTAATAGTGTTTTGCATGGAAAAGAAAGAAATCAAGGAAGACAGAAAAGAAAAAACAAGCAGGAGAGGGAGAATAAAAGTGAAGACATCAGTGTTTTGGACAGAGTGCAAAACAGAGAAGGGACCCTGGTGCTCTGGGGAAATGAATGTATTATCTGTTTGCTGCTGAGAAGCAAACTGTAAAAGCTGCTGAATTGCATTATGAGTATGGATGACCAAAGAGCTATAGAACACTTTAAGCTGTATTGCAAAAATATGTCAAAGCCATGCATTTTGATACAGTATCTGCAAGATTTGCTCATCTTGCTTACGATTGTTCATAACTATTCCAAAATGCAACCAGGATAGATCATAATTTCTTTTAGTTTTTATTTGTGGTTTTACTTGCTGACTTTTATACTTACCTAGTGTAATATTGTGAAATAAAAAATAAAGTGCAAATTGGGTTGAATAAAAAAACAGTGTAAAACTGAAGAAGTTTTTTAGAAGTGTTATGTACGCAGTGCATACAATTAATAGTAAGGCAACAAGTAGCGGGAGGGAACCAGAGGAGAGAATGGGTATGAATTCTACATTTAGATCAGACAACCGTGCAAGTTAAGTTTAGTGATACTTTCAGTATTTGTTGTTTTATAGATTCCATGCTAGTTTCTTTTTAAGGATCAAAGTTTCTCAATGAAGACTGATAGGTACCAGTCATTTTGGTAAGTACTGATATGTACCACATACATTTTTTTCCCCTTTTAGTAAAGAACAGTATTTAATATTAAAGCATACTCCAAAAGCATGATTTAAATATTTCTCATAAACGATTGCTAATATATGAATACATGTTTCTTTTTCTTCTCAGCTTAATAAAACACATATCAAACTTGCAGCTAGTGATTAAGAGATATAAGAGTTACAGAGGTGACAATAATGTGTAAGTGCAAAGTACAAATTCATTTTTTAAAAGAAAGTACTTCCATTTTACAAGCTCATCAGTTATTGAAAGAAATATGTACCTTGAAATCTCCTTTCTTCTTTCAACTTTTCAATTTTTCTTCCTTAGATATGGGTACATGCAGCAACCAGTCAGAATGGGGAAGACAGTTTTACGATGCCTCTGCAGTCCAGCAGGCAACTAGTTCCCACTTAACTTTGCCACATTCATGGACATGCAAAAAGACTCAATATATGGTTAGCAATATACTACTTTTCCTTATAACCCAACTGTCAGATGAAAGGAAACATAAACCAAACAAAATAGGTAAAGCATTTAGGACTATTGGACACAGAAAGAGAACGCCAATGATGAAAACTGTTGTCACTAAACTACTTTTTCTCTGCCCTCATGTCAACAGCCCAGAAATGTTTAAGTATAAGGAGTCATGTAAAGCCACAGAAGTACCTTACACTATGGCTTCCTTGCACACTCCAGGAGAACCTCTGCCCCAATAGCTAACAGGTTTCTGCTCACACTTCTAAACTGATAAAATGCTTTCCCTATACACCTATGCACCTGTATCAATCCAGACTTCAAAACATTTTACTATTTCTTACCAAACTGAGACATAACCTAACTGAGACTTAAGCACCTCTGTATTAGTTTTCTGAGTAGTTTTGCTTTAGCATCTCTGTCATACTCAATCTTCAATCCAGGCAGAAGCCAGAAAAACTGGGAGATTAAGCTCTGGCTTTAAATGGCAAAGGGTTGAAAAAATTGTTGTAAGTCAAAGAACCTGACTCATTCCTTGTTAAAATTTTAAAGAAAAATCTGCTTGAGAAAAATTCAATCTAACTTTCCACCTTTGCTATTTCTGGTGGAAAATTATACAAAGAGAAATCAAAACATTGATTTAAAAAGTAGTGACAAATGGTACAGAATTAAAATAAGAACCAAGCATGTGTGCCTAAATGAGGACACGATAAGACCACTACCAAATCCAATTGGACTATTCAGAGACAATAATTCTTCAGGCAGTCCACTGATATCAGCTCTTGTGCTAGAAGGGACCAAGCTCAGAATTTGTGCTGAGGCACAAATCATGGCTAGGTCACCCTGGAAACACACCTAAGCAGCAATAAAACTTGAATAACTACAAGAGAGAAAAATACTGTTGTAGTTACAAACTATATCTTCATCATTAATCAATCCAGAACAAGAAGGAATATTAATACATTATCTCGCAATCTCAGAACCCTCCATCAATCATTTCCAGAAAATCTCTCATAGCATATCCAAGAATTTCTAGGAAAAATATTATGTGTGTCAAAACGTTGAAGAAAAGAGCCAAAATAATTTAAGAAAATGTGCAAATGTCCTGCATAACCACACTAGCGGTCCTACTACTGTAGTTGCCTTGTCCTGTTTGATCTCCCTAAGAACATATGACAGACTGCAATGAGACACTAGACTTCCTAACTTCCTGTGAAGTTAACTAGAAATGTATGCTTGCAGTCTCTCCCTACCCATGAATCCACAGGTCTGTAGATGCCGTAACTTCTTAATTTCTCTTGAAATTAAGACTTAATTTAGACTCTTAATTTATCTTGAAATTAAGACCTCAGATGGAAATTTAGGCTGATTTATACACCTAAACTGACCTGAACAGGAGCTCTAGATGTTCTTTAATTTAAATTTAAATAAATATACATTTGTGGTACTAATTGTATTTCTTGCAGTTTCATGGTGCAAGCATCAACTGTCCACAGTTTATTATCCAAGTCTTCTACAACTCAGGAAACCACTGGGATTGTAGTGCAATCTGTTTGCTACAGAGGCACTGTCTTTCCTTATTATGTAAAGTTCCAGGTACGTTTCCAGTCACAGAAACGTAGTGTACCTGGTCATTCTGTGGTTCCGGAAACATCTGTGTTTCCTAAAGCACTGCTTCCTTTGTTAGGTTGATAGGGCAGGAAAATCCAATGTTGTCAGGTTCTGAAGAAAGTATGGTCTTAGATGAAGCTGAAGAGTGCAAAATGTCAAACAAGTCCAAGACATCCCAAGAATACTGGGAAGCCTAGAAAGTGAATGTGACCAAAACCTCCCCTAAAATTGAGAGCTATGACTTCTCTAGAAGATCTTAAATAGTCATTAAGATTTAAGTAATTCAGTAATTTAAATCTTATTTTGAAATAACTAATTTTCTAAGAATTCGGCTTACTAGTCCAGAAATACTGAAGTCTATTCAGTATAAATTTCTCCCTCTTCCCAGGTCCTGAGAAAGGAGAAAGCAAGTCTATGTTCTCAGAAAGTTCCTCTTGATGGTCTGGTGTCTCTCTGAAAGTGAGATGTCCTTTCGTACTTGGCATGAAATGATTGTGAGACTTTATACTTTCCCTTCCCTCCTTTAAACTTGGGAGGAGAACGAAATGAGCTCAGACACTTGTGAGGATAACCAAATGAAGAGCTTCCAACAGAACTCTGCTTTTTAAGTTGACGTAAGGAGTGTTTGTGTTTTGAGAAATCTTTCATGATCTGGACCAAGGATTCACCAAATAGCTTTCCACCTGTGTATGGTAAAGACAGCAGTTTACATTTTAGATCTAGTGATGAGGTCCAAGGACGTAGCCATATAGCTCTCCAGGCTACAGTGAGGCATGCGATATTTTTAATGGTGAGTCTAAGAGAATCCTCAGCTGCATCATGGATAAAATTAGCTGCAATTTTACACAGCCTGCGCTTCCTCTGCGTGGTACCAGATGGGACCCATTTCTTTTTTAATCTGTCTCGGTCTTCCTCCAACCATATTAGTAATGCTCTAGAAGCATAAGTGCAATAGATAGATACTCCAAGCTGGGCTGCAACTAGCTTGAAAGATCTTTTAATTGCTTCCTCAACCTTTCTATCAGTAGGATCTTTAGGAAGAACATCCATATTAGCACACGCTGATAGCACAGAATCACCAGTAACCAATGCCCTGTCTACCTGAGGCAAGGTCCCCCACAAAACAGCTTTATCCACTGGAAGAGGATAGATCTTACGTAGGACTGCTGGGGCTTCATGCTTTGCCTCAGGATTACCCCAAATCCTACACACAAGATCTTCCACTGCAGAATGGATAGGAAGTGCATTTTCTACCTTGCCTTCTTCAGAGGGGACAGGCAGTTCTTCTGAAGGACATTCAGATTTGGAAGATTTTAGCATTAATACTTTCTTTATGTGCTTGAACAGATAATTCTGATTCTCCATGTCAAACTTGCGCAGAGGATCTGATCCTTCTTGGTCTTCTGCAGGGGATTCAGATGACAGCTCCCCATCTTCAGGGACTGACTCAACCTCCGAGGCCTTGTCAGCCTCTAATTTCTCCTTCCCGGGAGCTGTTTGATCTTTTAAACTGTCCATATGATCAGACTCAAAAGTTTGGGAACTGCTCCCAGTTGCTTTTAGAGGAACCACTGGAACTTCTGTAATTGGTACCCTGGGATGTTTCACTGAACGGGACCTAGCCTGTGCCACAGAAGTTACACTTTGTCTGGCTGCTGTCAAAGCATCCTTTAAGACAGTAGCTAGCTCAGGCAAAATGACAGATTTCATTAATGAATTCTTTTCAGATTCAGAGAAGTGAGTAGTAGTAGGTCTTACCTTCCTGTGGTAGGAGCTCTGAGTGTCTTCTGAATCTGAGCTGTAGTCTGGGGTCTGGCTGAACCAGCGCTGGAGAGAAGGAGGCTGCCTTGCCAGTGAGTCACGAACTGAGTTGCAGCTGAGGGGTTGCTGGAAAGGGGATGGCTGTCCTGCCTGAGAACCTGAGCCCTCCTCCGATCCCATTACCTGTTGCTCAGAAGCATGATGTCTAGAGCCATGCCTGTGCTTCCATTCATCTGATCTCTTTTCCTCTTGGCAGAGGGAAGCAGAGACAGAACTAACCCTTGTAAGCACTGAAGACTGCCTAGCCCTCCTCCTGGTGTAGGAGGTCTCTGATCTGGTGCTGGAGTATTGATCCCCTGACCTTCTGAAGAAGTTGGATCTGTCAGATCTCATAGACTTTGCTTTGATAAAGACAGGGTCTGCTTCAGAAGAATTGGCACAGCTACCTTTTCTTTTCTTTTCCTTGTCCAGTTTCTTTCCTGTCCAAGCAGACATGGACCTGAAGTGATGAAAAAAGTTCAAAATACTCGAATTCCTAGGTCTTTCAAAGATTTTTCTTTTTTTTTTTTCAAGGGAAACCCTATGCTCTTTTTCCTCAAAGAAGCACTGCATCATGACCAGTGCCATGTGAGGCAGAAACTGGGAACTGAGTGACTGCAGTGACGCTGGGCTGCAGATAGAGTGCCAAGATATCTTCTGTAATCTGACTGGTTGCTGCTGCTGCCCTGTCTCTAAGGAAAAAAAAGGAAAGCCCAATATAGACTAATTACACAGAAATACATTTTAGAAAGGAGTTTTTCCATGGTAAATAGGATGAGCTCTTTCATGTGAACAAGTCTGAAAGCTTGGCATGCATCTGTCCATATTCACCAGACATGAGGTGGATAAATGCATTATAAAATAATTTAATAAAGCACTAGATGATGTTATAGATTAACTCAAGTCACTTAAATATGGAGACATAAATTCAAATCTTGCTACAGGTCACACATGAAAGCAGACTTGAATAGTCTTACTCTAGGCCTGAGAAAACACGTAATGAGGTCATATAATTTGTACGATTCTGTACGAAGGTCAGTTTCTGCTGCTGAAACTTCCAAGTACCTTAAACAGAGGAGTGATATAAAGGAGAATGCAAACTACACTGTCTAGGAAAACTTACACAGTACTTATTTACATCGGCTTCCAAACATTGCTTCACACTTCCCTTTTACCAGATGAATTTAATTAATCCATAGGCACTTAATGCTGTAATAAAATACTATTCTGAACTCATTAATCTAAGAACAAAGTATTGTATTTTTTTTAAAAAAAACAAGGAAGAACAAACAGAAACTTGTCTTTGGCATTGAGAACTGTAAATCTATTCCAGTCAGATGAAGATGTACATCTCCCTTATATGAAGAAGTCATGGCCACAGAGTGGATCCTTCTTGAGAAAACTGATTTTTCTATGTACATTTGTAAATGTCACATCTTCAAAATAATAAAGGGCTTTTACAATGCTTTTGACACTGTAAAATCTATTACAACATGCACGTAAAATATAATGGTATTGATATATTTAGAAAATAACAACATAATTTCCCGTACTAATAAAAAACAACAAATAAAATGCTGCTTCTTTAATAACCTATACTCATAATTGTCATATGAACAGACTTGCCAAGGCATGCTTTTTGTGATGCCAGGAGATTCAGCTAGGCTAAATTTACAATAAAAGAAGAGAGTTCAGGAATAAGAACTGTGTTGCATGCTTTGAAGCTGCTAGCTATGTATCTTGTACTGAAATACATGAAAGGGAGATTTGTTTTTTCTTGTAGGATATTCCTTCACCTCTGTGTATAACATCACTTCTTTGTTATTGGATTAGGTGTTAGTACTGGCAGCCATTTTAAATGCATTTGTTTTCCAGTGAATGTAACACAAGATTGTGTTCAGTAGGCTTCAATTAGAAAAATATTTTCCAAACCCATAATGCTAAATGTGCCCTAACTGAAAGGACACTGTATCTGGTATTTTAACTATCTGAAAGATGGGTCTATAAATAAAGATTCCTCACTCTGAGACAATCATGTTTGAATCTGGATTTCACCTTGCATTAGTGAAAGGCTTATTCTATGCTTGGATTTTTTATTTTTTTTTTCTAATGGTGAGGTTGAAATGCTATCTACAGTTCTATACAACACTGGTTACAGAACCTTTGTCAACACGGAAAAAAAAGTTAGTTTTGAATTAATAAGTGTGATATTATATATAGTACATATGTGATATGAGCAGTGAACATGACAAACCACTTTAGCTGCTCACCTGTATTCACCAAACGTTCCATCATCTTCCTTCATAGGTTGTATTTCTGGATCAGCATGTGCATCCTCCTTTTCCTTCACTAAAATATTTCAAATAGTAATTTTTATCATTAAAGTACAAGACAAGAAAACTTAAGACCTTAATTTCTCAAACTGATCACATATGGCAGGAACGTGGTTTGAATAAAAATCATTTTTTTAACCAGGGCCTTAGGCTGTTACATTTTTTCTTTTGAAGGAAAAGATCTGTTAATTATTTACAGAATTTTATTTTCATTCAGGGACAAAATACTGTATGTCATTCTGCATTAGTAAAATTTTTTCTTCTTTTAATTTCTAGCACTAAAGAGAAGGTTTTGTTAAAAATCCTACTAAAATACTTTCTTTACTTATGTTATTAATAGAGCTATTGTTTATTGAAATCTGAATAGTCTAGCTTTACTTATCCATGCTCCACAATTCTCTTGTTTTTCCTCTCATAGTGACTGATAAAACTGAACCAGATTCACTTGCATTCACTGTCAGTTTGTACACTTTCTGCTTTCATTTCATACACTAAGACTCATGGGAATGTTAAATACTATTTTAGGAATTATTAATATTGGAAAAAAATAGGTCTGATCTGTTCATGTATTCTTTTCCATAACATGATCAAAAGCAAAGCAAAACCACCTACACTGTAACCTAAATTTAACACAATTGTACCGCTTGCTGTAAATCCTTTTTACAGGTTTAGCCATCATTCACTGGTGGGAATAAATCCACACATGTAACTTGTCAAAAAACCTCTACGTAGCACTGTGTCCTTTGACAGAAACCCACTAGCACCTGGGAAGACATGTTTATAGAAGACATATATTCCTATAAATTAAGATCGTTGACAGAGTAAAATAATACTCTGACTTCTAGAATTATCCTTATGGTTCTTCCCTTTGCCTTTTCATTTCTGTTTTTCTGGCTACTACTCAAATCTTCCCCTGTTTTAGTAGATACGATTATATAATCCAATATACAATCTCTTATCTTTTACTCTGGTAATTTCCACACTTAATTTGTACATCATTAGTTTATATGCTGTTATTTAAGATGATATGAATAATTCCTGACAGTATTTTCTAAGTATATAATTACAACAATGCAAAAGACCTTGAAAAGTATCTGGCTGCTATATTTCATACTGAAATAATTTACCTTTTTCAAACCATAGGCAATCTCAAGATGACATGCTAAAGTTATGACAAAAAAGAGTTAATACCTTTGTGCTTTGCATTTGTCACTCACTATCTGTAGAACAGTACATTTGAAATGACACAAGAAATATGTTCCAGTATAGGTTCACAGAATCACAGAATGTTAGGGATT